ATAAGGTTTCAAAAATTCTGAGTGTAGTGAGACGAATAGAATTTTCGTTTCTTGATAAATTCAAATCATTTTTAGTACGTTTTTATATCCCAAATTAAACATATACTTCTATGATATATTCAATTCAATAGAGAATTTAATTAGTAATGAAAGTAATGAGTGGGTCATAAGGAATTACATTAAATTTCTGCGTTTTCTTTCGTTTATTTACTATTCAGATAATATGTTCATTTTCTTATTAAAAGATGAAGAATTTAAAAATTTTGGAAACTATTTACTTTTTTTCTCAAGCAAAAATGTGACAATGAAAAAACAATAAAAGAGGATGAAGTTTTTTAAATAATTATTCAACTGAAATTAAGACTTAAAGAATTCACCACAAAACTCCTTACGTTTTGTGGCATGCTTCCGAATTTTAGTGGACATCTTTAAAAGAAACAATATGTAAAGTAGATATGTAACAACTACAAAAAATCACTTTTTTGATAAATCTAGACCTGAGTTCTTTTACTATTTAATTAAATAGTTACAACGTATTGTTCAGAATTGAATTTTATATCCGATGATATACCAATAAGTTTTTTATTTCAGAAAGTCTGACTTGTAACAAGATGACTTTGAGAAATGTAGCTAAAAAAAAATAGATAACTGTCAGTTCCAATAACTTTCTTCTTGGAGAGAGCACTAGTGAAGTTTTTCCATTGCGCATTAAGAAGTAAAACTTCTATGAAAAATAAAGTAAATTGATTCACAAAGCTTGAAACTCTATACCTTTTAATATAAAAATAAATATATTTTCTCAACAGAAAATGAATAAAGAAAACTAAGACACTTTGTACAATTCCCTATGGCCTATACCCAAAATATATAAACTTATCAAACATTAATATAATATTAAATCCAAAGGAAATTATGAGAAAATAAAAACTTTCAAATATTATAGGAAAAAAGAAATATGAATATCTATTTTTTTTTATATATATTTAATAGAAAATTTTCAAAAATTATCATTCGGTGCTCTATACAAAGTTGATTGAGAAAAATAAATTGTTGATTTTGTTCAAATAACATGTAAATATAGAATCTTAAATCCCAATGATCTTTATAGAATGGTACTTCTCTTCTCTAGGCCACAAAAAGAAGATCAAATCTTTTCAGTTAAATGGATACAGTTCTCTTCTAATGCTATTGTAAGCGTTGTATTCCCCGGAAAAAAAATGAACCACTGTTTTCTTAAAATAATTATTCATTTCTGAGAAAGTAATTTTTCGACACTCGTATCACAACACTATAAAATAGGCTAGCCTTTGACAATATGTTTCATATTTAGATATTCGTCATCGAAATCCTATTTGTACTCCTCTCCAATTTGGTATAAGTAAATTTAGTTTACGATCATATTAGAATGAAATTTCAATGAAAAAAGTATTTCAAAAAAGAATACTTGATTCCATTCAAGCTGAGAAGACTTGATTCTCTCATGGTACAGAGTAACTTTGTTTCCCGAAGATCATTGGAGTTCCAAATATTATTTAATCACATATTATTTGAATGATGCCAACAATTTATTTTTCCCATGCAACTTGACATAGAAAATCTAGAAAGAATTTTTTGAAAACATTCTACAGAACGAATAAAAAAATGTAATCGATATTCTCTTTTTTCCCTATAGAAGAAAACTGAAAAATAAAATTTGACGAAAATTTGAATTGCGTCTGTCTATCTTATGTAGAACTTTTTCTTCGATGTTTGTCACAACAAACATTTTCTTTGAAATAGTAAGCTAGATTTTTACAAAAATATTATTGAACAAATGAAAATGTGTCTAATAAGAAAATTATTGTTTCTCCAAGCATACTCATTTTATCATGGGAGTATCTTCGGAATGGATAACAATAACCTTTGTTACTTTCAAAAAAGTAAGTAAAAATCGAATGAAAATCTTATATTTGAAAATTTATGATATTTTATACTCGTACAGATCTCGCAGAGAGGCATAACTTGTAGAAATTATAACTCTGGGTGTGGAATGAAAGGGTTTTTGTATTTTTACTATAAATTTCTAAATTCCTTTTCTTTTTTTCAAAGGAAGAAGGGAATAAGAATTGCGTACAGAGGAAGTGTTGGAGGTGCAGAATCTACTGCTAAAATGGCAGCTCAATAATATAAATGAAGAAATTTTCTTTTTTATCTTTAAAAGCATTTAACAGTTATTTTAAATCACAGTGACGTTAGCAAAATCAGCATCTATTCTGTCGTGCAAGTGTGAAAGCTAATAAAGCCAAAAAAGTTGTAGAGAATCTTTTGAAAAGGATCTGCTAAAATTTGAAATATGAAACAATATTCTATACAATTCTCTGTAAGTTTCGATGTGGCTTTCAAGGTATTAGTAGAACGTATGTAGAGAAGAAACAATCTCGAATTAAAACTTTTGAAATACCCAAAAAAAATTTAAACTATTGTTTTCATTTGATTCATAGTCGCGGAAATGTTTTAATTGTATGACTAAACACATGCATCGTTTTATTCAGAATTTAGATATGCGTCAGATAGTACGAAAATCAGTATTTTATATGTTAAGTTTGACTTGAGATTAGATAATTTTTCCCAATGCATCCAGAAATATCTTGAGATATTTTCTATCTTTTGATGTGTAATACTTAGCTTTTAGCATCGACCTTGATGGTTACATACTAACATAAAACCATTTCTTATTCGTAGAATTCATGGCAAATATATCCAAAAAAACAAACTTGCCAGTTTTATAGAGAATTAAATTCTCTCTCTAGCTAGATCAGAACTAAAATTTGAGCAAGTGTCAACTTTCTTCATCACACACACGACGAGATTATGCATCTTTGGAAAGTTTATATTTCAGAGCTTATGCCAATCATTCATACGGATAAGTCATTAAGAAACTTATTTTATTTTTAAATTTCAAAAGGAAAACCGTACAAAAAACTTTCCAGAAATACATTAATATTTCGATATTTTTATCACTGAAGTTTTGTTTTAAATCAAAATAAATAGAAAATTCGAACTTAACACGATAAACTACATCAGACAATCTATACTGTCAGCCACAAATATCTTTCGTTTGTCGAGCATTTCTAAGGAAATAAAATTTGCATCTAGAATATTTTTTTTATTCAATGTTAAATCACTTGCAGGAAGTTTCTTTTTTGTTTCCGAATTTCGAGAACACATCTGTTATTTCTGAATTGTCACCAAGATATATACATGTCTTATCGAATTACTTCAATTTTTAAAAATATTTATACCCGATTATAGTGTAATCTATATAACACTCTAAAAAAAAAGAATTCTATCAGTATAACTAATCTCAAAAAGAAGAACAAATCAAACGAACATCATAAGAAAAGTAATACATAAAAAAGTAAATAGAAATTGGTTGTTTATATTTCAAATATTCGTATTCATCTTTTGATAAAATATTACATACAGTGATTGTACGATAGATTTTTCAGCTATTGTCTGATCATCTTTTATTATATAGAGTTCATGTAAGATTCATTATATATAGACATTTCAATTGTATACGATAGAAAGAGCATTCAAAACATTTCATAGGATCATCAGTAGGAAAAGAGTATACATATGAAGGTTATTAGTGAAGGTTTTTATTGATTGCAATGAAATAGATGATGATAAAGAGAAAGAGAGAAAGATTTAAACTTTAGAAATTAAAATTCCGGGTTGATATTGGAATGTTTTAATAAAGTAGAAAATAAAAACTGAAAAGATTCGATATAAAAAAATGAACATGAGTGTAAACAGAAAAGATGTGTTTAAAATCGATTCATGTTAGACAACAATCAATGTCTGCTCGCTTAGACTCTTCTCTAAACAAAACAAAAAACACAGTTCAATTAGTTTTATCATTTTAAAATTCTTCACATAACATCTTTAAGATATTAGAATCAATCTATGAAAAATTCAGAAGTTATAAACCTTTATCATTTTTGAAACAATGAGTTGGAATATTGAAAAAAAATAATTCGTTCGAATTTCGAAAAGAAATCTATTAGTTTTCTGAGTTACCACTGGAGATTCATGAAAAAACACGAAAATTATCTTTATTAATTTCTCTTCAATAGTGACTTTAAAAATAAGGAGTATTGGAAAAGTTTCTGGAAAAATGTAAAACTGTTGTATTTGAATAATTCTTTTTTGTTTTGTTAGATAGAACTTGATTTCCATTTTCAAAGCACATATTTCACCGACTTACATTCCTATACTAGTAACAAAATTTATTCGATTTTTATAAGTCTAGTAAAATGTGGGCCACAATGCTATGTAAATGCTCAAAGACCACCTACAGAACTGTTGCAACACCCGTTATGTTACACTATATTGTACTAGAATTGCAGATGTTCAACAATCTATTCAAGTTTTGTTTGTCTGTACTACCCGCATTGAATGTTGTAAAAATCGATTGAAGTTCAATCGATTACTTTCCATCTCCTTTAACTGCATGTGCCTGTTTTCTTGCAACTTAGTTCCTTTTTTGATTCTTTTTCTATATGAAAAAGGAAAACACAAAAGAAAACTTGTGTTCACTATCATATATGAACGTACTATTGCTAGAATGTACATTGTACTTTTCGATAAAAAAGAGGAGAAAGAGAAGGAGTGGCTGTCTAGATTAGAATAATCCGATTATTTTTGCTCACATTGAAGCTGTACATAATTAGTTGTGCATTCTTTTCTAGAAAAAAAACCAAATGTGTTTTTCCATTTTTTTTTTATATTAAAGACACACGTAGGAAACATAAATTCAACAAAATGAAATATTCAATCAGAAAATAGATCTAAAACAGTTTATCTATTACGAGAGAAGTTATTTCAATGAATACGTTTTTCTAATAGTACCAATTGAATGACAAATATCTCATCGATTTCTTAGCAAAATAAAGAGTTCGTTTTTCAATGAAATTAATGTTTTTTCTATTGCATACTTTTGTTTCATTTCAGTACCAATGCGTGCAAGTTTCATTGATATCCATCCGAATGCAACATGGTCAGAGAATGGTACCACTGTTGCTGGAGGAAATGGAGGAGGCAATGAGACCAATCAACTCGAGCGCCCGTCTGGTTTGTACGTCGACGATGATCTAATGATTTATATCGCTGATCAGTGGAATCATCGCATTGTGGAATGGAAATCTGGTGCAACAAATGGGAAAGTAGTCGCTGGTGGAAATGGAGCAGGAAATCGACCTAATCAATTAAATCTCCCGCATGATGTGATTGTCGACAAAGAGAGCGATAGTCTCATCATTAGTGATACAGGGAATGGCAGAGTAGTTCGATGGCCTCATCGAAATGGTACTCAAGGAGAAACAATTATTGCAAATATCGCTTGCAGGGGTTTGACAATGGACGACAATGGATGCCTCTATGTCATTGACGCTGAAAAACATGGAGTGAGAAGATATACAATTGGGTATAATCCAGAAACAGTGGTTGCAGTTGGCAATGGAGAAGGAGATCGTCTCGATCAACTCTCTAACCCCTACTACGTATTTGTCGATCGAGCACATTCAGTTTATATGTCTGATCATGGGAATCATCGTGTCATGAAATGGAGGAACGGTGCAACACAAGACATTGTCGTAGCTGCTGGCCAAGAAAATAGTCCTACACGATTGTCTCGCCCTAATGGAATCGTCGTCGATCAATTGAGTACTGTCTATGTGATTGATGGTGACAATCATCGAATCATGCGTTGGCCAAAAGAAGCCACCCCAGGAAGTGTCATTATTGGGGGAAACGGTTATGGAGAACAGTCAAATCAACTCGCTTATCCCACAGGTTTATCATTCGATCGAAATGGTAATCTCTATGTCGTCGAATACTTGACTCATCGAGTAAAAAAATTTAACATCAAATGAACTCAATTCATCTGATTGATTTTTTTCTTCGAAATAAATCATGATTGCATGGGAAAAGGCATTGGAATTTTTTTCTATTCTTGCACGCGCGCGCATGACCAAGAACGATCCTGGTGGAGCCATGGCGAGCGTAATGCTCATGCACACGCGGGAAGATTCATGTCATTCGTATGCGCCCATCCGGCGACATGCGTCACCGAGCCGGGAGGTCATCGTGTTGCCATGGGCATCAGAACCATTTCTGGCTGGCCTTTTATTCAGGTCAAAAACCTACGATCGTAATTTGGTCGTCTGCTTCTATGAATTCTTTTGTGACCTATGAATTCCCATTAACTTTATATAGGGCGTAATATCATGAAACATGTGATCGTTTATATTAGATGCAATCTTAAATAGTACAAATAATGACCAATAGACACGTTTGACAATTGCACAAACGAATAAAAAAAATATTGTAGAGGAGAGAAAATAATCAGATAAAGAATATAAAATATAGAAGAATGTGAGGATGTGGGTGTGATATAAGTGATCACTTAGATGCTACCACACACCCACACCCACACCCTCTATGTTGACTCACCTATCACAAGGATAATTAAAGAAAACTAAATTATATTTTGGTCCACGATCTAATTGATTCACAAATAGAACTCTATCTTCCAATCACAGTGATGATACTTCGAGGTGTTCAGAGATGGAGAATTCGAATTTGCACTGCACTTTCATCGAAATACAATTGGTTGTGCAGTGACCAATAGAAATCAGGTTATAGAGAAAACGACTTTGTTAGGGTAAATCAAGGGAAAGAGTTCAAACTTGAGCTGTATGCGGTCCCAACTCCTATTGATTTGGCAGCCCGCAATAGAAATCAACATTTTAAATGGTAGGTTCCGCAGTGTAGTTTTGATGTTGAGACATTCTAGGATGATTGATTTGTATAATTCACTTTTTGAAGTACACATAACTTTCGGATTCAAATCCGAAGTTTCCGCATTTATTTTATTTTAATATTTCAAAAATTGTTGCAAATTGAAATAGTATATTCGATCGAAATATGCTACATGAGAGTGGAGATTTCATCTTTGACATAAATAAATAAATAAATTTATTTATTGTAGTTGTGCCTCAAGAGATGATGTTGGACAACAATAACGAACCTTGTAATCTTCACACATTTTGTCTTTATAATTAGCAACTTGTTGGTTTAAACATAAAAATCCATCTTTAATACTAATACGAAAAACATCTCCTGTTGTTGATGGACTTTCATCAACTGATGTTTGACTCTAATAATAAATAATCTTATTTAGAATTTTAAAAAAATATAGAATTTATTATACTTCAATAGCTATTGGAGATAGACATATAAAATCAGGAAAAAGTTCTCTTATATGATTTATTATTTCAAAATCGCCTTGTTTCATATCAGGATCATTTGTATCAAACCAAGTTGTCCATGTATAATTACCTGTACATTTTTCTTCATTAAATGTATATGGGACAAATACACTTTGTTGACATAAAACAATATTCAACAGTATCAATAAAATCACAATTTTGGGAAACATTTTTATTTATCTGATAGATACAGGTATGTTCTTCTTATTAATAATGTCAAACTATTAGAACGAAAACACATATTGATATAGGATATCAACTAAGTCTATAATCAATATAAAATATTTCAAAATATCATTCAAATTTCAGATCATAAATCATATTTTTGTGACTTTCTGCTTACGATTTTCAATATAACGAGAAAAAAAAATATAAAAATAAACCTTTTTTTATGTCATTGATATTTATTACAGGTGAAGATTTTCATTCTTTTTATGAAAAACAAAAAAAAATCTTTCTTAAATCACTGCCTTCATTTAAAAAAATGAAAAAAAAAACAGGACGATACTCAAATGAACTCGATGTCCTTAATTAACCGACAAAATGATGAAGACGAGCTCTAAATACAAATTATAAAAGAAACGAACTCGGAAAAAAAAAATCTCATCAATATCGAATCAACGCAAATGTAGAGAAAGATCTGAGTCAAATATATTAAAGAAAAAATAAACATTGAGTGTTTCAATACAATACATAATAAAGTATAAAAAATCAGTGCTTCAATAATGAGTATTTTACATGTTTGAGTTTCATTAAAAAATGTTGCTTTCAATTGATATTAATATTTTTTTTTTGTACTTTCTTTATTGTAAAAATTAGAATATAATCGAGTAGTAATTTTTTTAAAATTTTCTTTACGATCTATGAAAACATTGTGACATTATGCCAAAGATATTAAATCATTTTTAGTTCGAATTCTTTCGTGCAGAGTTTTTATTAGAAATTTGAAACTACTTATAATTAGGTAATTTGTTTTTTTTTTTATTTAGAACAAAGTACCATAGTAATCAACTGATGTAAGAAAAGTAAAAACAAAGTTATTACTAATCGACTTCAATTGAAAAATACATTCGTATATAATATATAATAATAGAAAAGTAAATGCATACATATGATCAAATTTAGAAAATACTTCTCTGATTTATCTATTACTATCATATATGGATGCATGGCACTCTAAACGTCGCGCATAAAAGTACATTCTTATAAGCTCTATTTTTGTCAAAACAAAATCAATTGTTTTTTTTTCGTATGATAGATATCATCGACAAGTTTTTATTCATATGGATCAACTTTATAAAATATCATGTTTAGATGAAATACAGAAAATATGTTTTTTTTTCGAATTTCACTGAAAAATGTTTGTATCGATGAATTTTTCGATATCTTATAGTTCTAACTGTGAAAGGTGGTTTTATTACCATATTTTTTGTAGCATATTAGCGAACTTCGATATTGTTTTTTTTTAATGAGAATATTTAAAAAATAGCGATACAAGGAGCCTAAACAATGGAAAAAGTAAGTTATCGCGAAAATTTAAATGATCGAGAAGAAAACCATCGCTATACTTTTTTTTCAGTGATGTTTGGAAGAAACATATTTTTTTTTATTTCAGTAAAAATTGATATCTTGTAAAGTTGATTCATTTGAATAAAAACTTGTAGATAATGTCTATCATACGAAAAGAGACACAATTGATTTGTTTTGATATAGAAATAAGTTATGACAAGGTACTTTCTCATGTAAATTTTCGAACACTCTATCTATATCAAATAGAGACTTAATAATAAATATAGATTGAACTAATACGAAATAATCAATAGTATACGATACAAGAATAGAAAAAAAATATCTTTAAAAAAGGATTTACTTAAAAATTTAATAAGACTAGGAGAAAAAAAATACAGTTCAGTTCTATCTACAATTGGAATATATAATCAAGAAGAAATCGAGAAACTTTAATATAAGTACTGCTTTTAATTTGCAAAGTATCATCAATTTATGGTGTTTTCTTTTCTAGCTTAGCAAGAAAAAAAGTACTCCTTGAAAATTGTAAGTAACTTGAATACTTTATATTAAAAACACTGCTTACATATTAATCCTATCATATCTTGATTTTTGAATATTTGAGAGTACGTTTACATATATAAATTGAAAAAGAATTTTGTAAATTCGACTTCTATACAAGTTGCTGGTCGAAAAAATATTGTACTATCAGATGAATCATTTGAATCCTTGTATTATCTATTGGTCTCTAGGGTGTGGGTGTGGG